TATCAGAAAAAATCAAGAACCAAAACGACACAGACCAACAACTACAAGCTATGCACTGGAATGCTGTGCATACAGCAAACATATATACCAACAAAAGGACTAATCTCCAGTTTCAGAGTTTCTTCTGAAGAAGGGAGTGGTATGTCTGTCGAAACCGACGACGTGGCAGTAAATCCGGAAATTATTCAGCTTTAATAATTCAAAACGGTTACATATTTTTGGTAAACATATTGTCTTTTCTCAAGTCTTTAAAAATATTTATCTACACATTTCCAAACCTACTAAATCGAGTTGGCTGATAAAAGTGAACAATGTAGGTATATGGTATTTGATTTGATATAAAGCAACTTCATAGAATTACTACATAAAATTCAGTAAATAATTAAAAAAGACGAATATTTTTAAATCTAGCTAATAACATGTTTTCACTGATGAGTGACAACGGAGCTGCAGAAGAAAAATTCGCCCTGTATAAGACGATTTCTTGTTGTTGTCACAGTTTGGTCCAGGTAGTGAATAATTACGTAAATAAAACAAATAACAACCACATGAATGTTTCGTCGCATATCACAGTACGGATTTTCATTAAAACTTATTGTTGAACGAACTTTGTATATCAACAAAGTAATTAGCGCGATACGTGGACAGGCCGGACCGTTTGGAAGCATTAGTCTGTTTATAATTAAGCCGCATTATTTTAACTTGTTCGGCTCTCCATACTGTTCATTAAGCCTGATTCTGTTAGGCCGGGGTCAAATTTATAAGGGATTAAATCGATGCTGTAAACCGAATCCGTGTTTTCATCACATCTACCAAACATGCTCCAATGGATATTGCTATAATATGCCTCCCGAATCCATGTCCGTGTAAAAATACAGAAAAAAGGATTAATAGCAGTCGTAGGTGGAACGCGATTGTCGAAACGGAAATATAAATATTTCCAAATACATAACTGTTAACATTATTTCCATCTCCTATTTGCTTCTGTATTTTTACGTAACCCTAAAAATTTAAGATAATCTATGTTAAAGCTAGAAAATGTTCCATATTCTGATCAAATCTAGGTGTGGTGTATAACCATTAATTGCACAGCTCAACATTTAGTTTGAAAAAAAAACACCGGACTCTAGATGGACGGAGAGAAAATACAGGCAGACGATAAATACAGACTAACAAGCAAATAAACAGGTGTAACCAAAAAAAACTATGTATGATCTTTTTCAGATTTTTTCAACCACCTTTACTTAGTTTGACGTTCAAATGGTCTTGAACCTGACGTGATAGAGCTTAATTGACCTCGTCATCGGAATCAGCGACCCCAAAAACTTCTGGGTACCGAGGTAGAATCCGGTGTTTTTTTTTCAAACTAAATGTTGACCTGTATTATTATCTAAAAGGAAAAATGTTCTATCAAACTATTGCATTAGATAAAAAATAAATACTGAAGCAGCATTTAATCTTTGACGCAAAAGTTGTTAGTCTGTTACAAATATAAGGCTTTTGATATCACTCACTTGAATGAAATTGTGAGGCATGTCATTCTAAAGGTTCTCCAATCATTGCCTTCTAGATATTTAAATTGAAACAGAAATTTCATACATTCAAGCTTATGAAAGGAAATTTTCTACAATGTTGAGGTACTAGGTGTTAAGTTATGCTGAATAACGTACATAGCCAGCTTTAACTGAAAATATCTCAAAAGTAATTTTCCGAAAAGTCACGAGGTAACTGACTTCACAAACTTGTATCGGAAAATTAAGGTCATAGAGAAAAAAGCTAATTAAAAATGTATTTAAAACTGTTTTGGAACTGCTGAATACATGTATTTTATCGCAGCGAGTACTTACAAAAAATTCTGTAACACTTTTTACGAGTTTGTAGGTTTCTTATGAAGCCGGACTGTATCCGAAAGTCAGATTGTAATACATTGTTGTATTGATTGCTGTGCTGTTTTTCGAGAGTACATTTAATAGCCTTATTTCCAAGTTTGCTTTTGAAAATGGGGCATTTATTTAGCAATCGCGAATATTATGATATGCTCATAATTTATGGCGAAGTAATCGAAAATGTCCACAGAGCTTGTCAAGTGTACCGTGCAAGATATTCTGAACGACGTGGTCCAGAGCGACCACTAAGAATCTTAAATGTCGAGATATCTAGATTTTTCGCAAAATCGCTTGCCGGAGTTATTGGAAGACGGCACGTTTTTTTGATACATATAATGATTCTTTTGTACTCGTACTTTCTTTTCATAAAGTTGCTCAGATAATATGTGTTTTTACCGATTTGAAAAATTCGTAAAAATAAAAAAAATAATTCCATATTTTCAAAATACCAATCTGTTCTATCTCTTCTAGCTACCGAGACCCCGAAAGATGCATCACTAAAATATCTCACCTGGTACATCCGCGTTTTCAAAAAGAATAAAATTCAGTGGTGTTTGTATTTTTATATAAAATTATTTCAGAATCTACCCATAGCACATTCCTGTTGAAGCTGAGTACATCTCTTTGATATTCAAATATTATATTCAAATATTTTAAGCGCAGAAAATCAATATGGGTCCTTATAATGATAGAATCTTTTTTGTCTTATTTTTGGATGAATATCTTCCCTACAAGCCATAAAATATATTTATTAAGTCCTATGTACCAGATTTATTCTACAAATGAGTAATATTATTTACTAGTCCGGTCAAAATAGACATTTCAAATAACGAAAAAAAGTATAATAACCAATTTTGTAGATAATTTTAAGATATATAATTTTTGTCGGGACTACTTTTTTGATAAAACTTACAGTTTTCGAAAAAAAAAACTCATATTTTGACCTTTGACCCCGAATAACTTTTTTAGCACACATGGGATTGATGGGGACTTTTCACACTTTATTTCTAATAGTGTACCCAAGGTCTCCACCAAAATTTAGCTCTGTCGGAATTTTCGTTATTTTACCACTATTTTTATGACTAATTTAACCGGAGTATTGCAATAGGGGAATCAAAAGACGTAATTAGCAACTTAAAAGAAACAGTCTGTGACTAATTATTCATGTTTATGTACAATGTAAATACCGATGCAACTAATCAATCCAGCGGAATTTTATCGTGGGATTCCACTGAATTTATTTCAGCGCGTTTTATTGGATTGGATCTCGAACTATAGCATGGCACATAAAATCTAAACCATAAAATGTATGCGGCGTTAAAGTTATATTGCCACCGCTTCTAGACGTGCAAATAGGCCAAGAAAATTGAGGTGGTCTACAAAATTAACGGCGCCAATAATACCAAAGTTTGTGTATGTATATAGTCCAAAAATGCTTTAGCCTGTTCCAGTTGATGAGTCAGCTTTGGCACCTCGATTGTGTAAGAAATGTTAAAGTTTTACATATTTCATCAGAGTTTTACACATGTGTTTAATTTGGATTTGCTGATACACAATAGATGTGTCATTTTCTTCCATGGTCCGCGATGCTAAAGATTGTGTTACGTTCTGGAGATCAAGGTGGCCTTGAACAATTGCATTTTGGCCTTGTCCAAATCAACAGTTTGGGAATAATGTACTGACGCATATTTCTACCAATCGCCTGGTTGAATCTACATTTTGTAGGCAATAAGACGTAAATTCTTAAATAATAAACTATTTCCAAATCCTTGGATTGGATAAGGTCAAAATGCTTATGTTCAGTGGGCTCCACGATCCACATACTTCAGTTAAGTGGATCTTTTTCTAAATCATCATTTATGCTGAAGAAATGATAAATATTGAACAAACAACAACTTCGACAGAAATAAGACGTCTCTTGAAACATAAGGTTTTCCTAATAAATAGAGTTTGTACGTGCCTCAAAAAGGAAGAGGAGAAATTAACCTTATTAAATTAGTTTCCACATAATAAAATAGTCGGTGGCTAGCAAGATCAAAAATGTTAGAAGCTAGCAGTTTTTTGGTAGTATAAGAGCTTTACTAACTGATTTCAGTTGTAATAATTTGTTGAGAATTAGTTTGATAACGTTTGCATTTGCGACAATTCGAAATATTATTCACTCTCTGCAGCAGCTCATAACTAACTATAGTAGAGTTATATTCTACCTATTACATTAATTCAAATGTAGTCTATAAATTATTCTGAACTGAATCTGTAAAATAAGCCATGGCCTAAATGTTGTTTTATCTAGAACAGATAAATAAAGTATAATAAACTTTGGGTTGCCCCTCGTAAATTTAAGGATAATCACCTTACCCAGCTTTTAAATCCAATAAATTAGTAATATCTCGGTAGCGTTATATTGTTCTATCAGATTATTATTGAATTATTGCCAGTAAATTGGCTGTTTTAATTTCATACCGCTCCTTTACCGCGAGTGTCTATGTATAGTATTATTAAGTCAATTTTTAATATATTGATAGCTGAAACTGTGATTAAAATGGAAATACAAAACTTAAAAGTGTTATTTAAAGAATTCATTTGCTAATATGACGAATTAAAGCACAACTTATAGAAATTAAAGGAATCCAAGTTCTTAACGACGCCATCTGTTGTATAAGAAACTTACCAATATATATTACCGCGGATTGTTACCTGTTTCACAGTCAACTACTTTTTTAATGAAATTCTAAAAATATAGTTAAGGAAACATAGTACAGTTTTCAAGGTGTTAAACAAATGTTTTGCTTTAATCATAATAAACAATGCCTGCTTTTAAGTGCATGCCTGACATCTAGCGACGGCAACACTTATTATGAGGAAGTTTGATGCAGACATCTATAATGTATAAAAGTTAATGGATCTATATTTTTTAGAACGCTGTTTTAAATTACAAAGAACTATTTAAATTTCCGTTAAATGTCAATAGTTTGTCCTACGTGATGCAGATGGCACCATTACAAAAGTGCTTTTTTATATAAGCATATGAAATAACGCTGCCTCAAAATTTCACCACTTTCAAATTTTTGTTTACTTCACATTCTTCAATAAATTAATGCAAATCGTACTTACTTAGGTAATACATGTCGAGGCTGTCCAAATCATCCGGATTTATTTCTTTGGTTTCGGTAAACTTTGCCCAAGCTAGAAGGAAATTGTTCACTGTTAAAGTATAATATAAAGGATTGCTTACTCCATAATTAAAAATATTTTAGTCATAAATGCTATTTACTAACACAATATTTAGGAATATATAAATCTGATAATTCTAGAATTAATGTTTTAATGAAATATGCAGTAGGTATTTTTTTTATTCAACTTACTTTTTTTCAGGAATCCCAAGCACCCGTTGGTACTTTTCTTTTCCTTTTCAATCAGTTCTGGTTCTGAGTTTTCCATATTGCTCATTTCTATTTGCTCTTCCGAAACTTCATTCTTGTGGCCCTGAAATAAAAAACCTTAACATAAACTTCTCTTTGACTATACAGGGTGTCCGCAAATTTCACAGACAACGTTTGACTGCATATTCGTCGTCGAAAATAAAACTAATTTAATTAATAACTTCATAACCCTTTTACCGATCGCGCTAAAATTTATGACATTAATTTGGATTATTATGGCGTATTATTTCTTAAAACTTGTAACTCAAAAACCAAAACTTTTTTTTCGTAGATCGTATTTATTTATCGTCGTGAATATACAGTTAAACGTTGTCGGTGAAATTTGCGGACACCCTGTATATATTTTAATATTATATCTCGCATTTTTACTGTGTTGTAATTGTTATTATATTTATTCAAACAAAATTAAAAATATTTTCTAAAAAATGATAAATCACATTTTACTTCTTTTTTCCACTTGGATAGATACACATGGCACATGTATATGCTCTTTGTTTATGAGTCTTGTCAATGCGATGGTCACCAAAGTGTCATACTTAACTCAGAAAGATATCCCAATCACTGAGTGCCCCACCATCAAATCTGTGCAAATGTCGAAAGACTCCTTGGAGAAAGTGGTAGTTTTCTCCACAATGAGGTTTTAGGGGTAATATTTTGTGGGAATTTATATTCATATCCATAAATTGTCGTTTTCTTATAACCCGCACGAAAAAGGCGTTGGTGGTTAAGTCTGTAGATCTTCTGGCCATATAGTTATGCCCCTTCTATATGCATATAACGAGCTGCTAAGAAAAGGTGATCTCCAAGATAGTTACGACCTATAGTGAGTTACAAGGCTTGCCATCATCTTGTTGGAAGCCAGCAGCACCCATCATTTTGAAGAAAGTGCTCCGCAAATCCTCAAAACTTGGGTTATTTGTGATTATGCTTAAGAATTGTAACGTCGCGTCGTGGGAGAGCTGGTCCATATACTGGATTCCAAAACCCTACCTCTATATTCTCCAACTAGCTGAATACCAATCTGAGGTCAGTTGGTACCGCCAACCATGATTTTCGAGAAAATGTCCACATAACGCATAAAGAAACGGTGTTCGCTATAGTCACCTAAGTTCTAGCGGAAATAATCCATTGAGAACCCATAAAGTTCAGTTTCAGGGCAGTGAAGATGAATAAATAACGTGGGATGGAAAGAAACATCCCCAAACGTGTCCCCAATCAGTGTGAGTTAAATGATCTTATTCGCACCCTGGATTTACCAAAAGACGGAACTATGTTGAGCTAGAGAATCAAAAAATAAAAATTTTCCTTTTGAAGAAACCCAATCTTCTGTGTAACGATGAAACAAGTTTTCGAAAATATTTTCCTTCAGATGAAGGGGGGATAGAAAGGCAACATAATGGGATGCCTAAACTTTTAAAGCTTTTTAAATAAAACAAACTTTATTAACATTCTACATCTTTATTCTTCATGTTTACATATTTCTTTCCCAACATAGTCAGTCTGGCGATGAACACATTTCTCCCAACGAGAGACCAGTTTGTTGATACCGTCAATGTAGAATGATTGCACCACTTCAGCACTATCAAAGTGAACTCCTGGAAGGTGTTCTTTAAGTTTTGGAAACAGATGAAAATCGGATAAGGCCAAGTCGGGATTATATGGAGGATGATTGATGACAGTGAACCCAAGGCGTTGGATTGTTGCAGATGTCGCAGGGCTCTTGTGGGGTCTGGGATTGTCATGTTCTTCGAATTCGTGCTTTCAATTATCTGAGGGTCTCGCAATACCTTGCAAAGTTGCCTTTAGGCATGAATTTCAAATGCACCACACCTTGAACATCTCAGAACACTGCGGGCATGACTTTGCCTGCTGATGGCATGGTTTTGAACTTTTTTGGCGTCGATTATCCTTTATGGCGGAACTTCCTTGATACTCTCTTGTTTTCGGAGTCAAAATCACATCTTTCATCACCTGTTATAAAGTTGTTAAGGAATCCATCACTCTCATGCTCAAAACCCAAAAGAAATTCTTGACAGATGTTCAGTCTCTGTTGTCGATACAATCAACACCGTATACAGCTTTTATTCTTCTATGGATTTCAATTGGAGGCGCGTTTTTTGCGGTTACAAAACTCCATTACAGCACGCTTGCTTCTCACTCACCGGCATAGTTACGTTGCACACCGCCATGTTACACGCTACAATTTAGAGCCCTCTAGCGATAAAGGGTTGGAACTTGCGACAACGAAGCGCGAAAGTCGACCGAGTAATATGCATAGCATGTAATACCTCAACCGATATTGAACAGAATAAAAAATTCGAAGGCATTACTTTTCAGCATGCCCTCGTATACCTTGCTAATGATTTTTGGCTTAAGGTAATCGAGGAACAATCTCCTTAAATTATAACAAAGATTTAGGAAATAAGGTTTTACCCTATCTGTCATCTATTCACAGTAAATGTAGTTTTTCAATTTATTTCTACGATTTTAAAACAATAATCTAGTAAAGTATTTGCTTGACAGAAGGGAGTTCAAAACTGAACAAAACATATCCGTTTTTTCCCATCGCATTAATAACTGTCATAATATTAATTGTTTTTGTTAGTAATTAATATGAGTTTATTGTCGACTTAAATAAAGCATCTGTTTAAACCAACGGCAATCAAACTATCAACGAATCTCATTAAAATATTAAATATTTAGCATGCTTTATAAAACTTAGTATTAGTTATCATAAAATTATTGTGTAAACGTTTTATACTACCCATTCAATTCGTTTCAAGTAGTAAACTCTAAAGAGTAATGAAATACAAATTTTATTGTTATACATACTTCAATTTTGTTTGTTTTGTTTGTAGTAATTTCTGTCTTTACATTATATTGAAATTATATCAATAAAGATTTTACTATGCGAAAAACAATAACTTTATGAATGAAAGAATAAGATTACTTCGGATTACAAAAAATTATTGTTTGTCTAGTTGTTCCAAATTTTAATTAGAAGACATAACTTACCTATAATAATTATTCTTATTAATAAAAACCTAAAAATTAATTTCATATAATTTAACACATCAGCCGCGATCAGCGGTTTCGTACACTAACATGCTACTCTATTTTTGGTGAAATGAATTACAAATACTGAGCCATTGTGTTCATATTATCCACCCGCTGTAGCAGTGTATGTTTAGGTCCAATAGTAATTTGGCGTGATGCCACATGTGTAGTGGTTAGAAGTATATAAATAATTTCATGTATCTATGGCATACCAGAAGCTTTCTTTCGAACGAGTAGTACATTTTTTATCATATGAGGTCACCATAATAAAAAATTGTGTATATAACTTTCTGTAAAACATGATAAGAAGTTTCGTTTCAACTACGTCTCGAGTGGCTTTCCTGCTAACCAGTTTTGAAGTAATGGTTATTTTTCTTGGCTTTGCCACTTTCTATAATTATAGAAGACTCATTTAAAACAACTTCACTTCCCAATGTCTTGGAAAGTAGCATCTGTTATACCAATATTTAAAAAGGATAATAAGTTTATCTGCTCCCACTATAGTAAATAGACTATTAATGCATTGTTTTTAAGGGGGTAAATGGATTTTACCGTAGAAGTGGAAGTTGCTATGGACAACGGGAGGTAAGTGAGGTGACTCACCTCCTTACGGAAAAAAGCGATTTCGAGTTATAAATGCATATTTTATGAACAAATAAATAGAAATATTTGATGAACATTACATTTTATTAATTATTATTATGAACGAATATTTATAGTAATTATACAGTTATTACATCTAGTAACATTTATAAAATCTGGATAATTATTTCCCTCGCGTTTGCTAATTGACACATTTTTCTCAAAATGATTTGGCTGCTCCATTTCAGTCACCGGAAGCTCAATACTATCTGACTGATCCATTAAAACAGCATGATGCGACGGACTACTAGAACCTGGAGTTGAGGTGTCATTGTAAAGAATCCTGTTGGCTATTTCATTTTTGTTACATAAACTCAGTAACATAACTTTCTGCAATTGTGGCTGATTTCCACCCACCACGTCTCTTGATTGCTAATACATCAACTTCTGTATTAGCCAGTAACGTTGCCGATGTTCTTCGGAATGAATGGCCTGTTGTATATGTTTCAGGATGTTCTAGTTTCAAAAACTGTGCAATCTTATTAGGAAAGAGTATTCCTGCTGACTGGTTGTAACATCTACCTGCTTATAGCGCATAAAAAGGCGTGAAAATTTCGTTTTAATTTCCAATCTAATCTTGATATATTTCTTGAGAATTTCTAGGTGAGAAACAGAACCTAGACGAGAAGTAATTGTTAGCGTACGTGACATACCATTTTTAGAATCTGGAATTGTAACTACAATAATGTCATCGAAATTTTTGAAATTGACGTTGTCCAAAGTAAGTTTGTATAAAACATCAGGACAGCATCCTCTTGCAATGCCTAAGACCGTCACTATCTTCATTAGCAAATATGTGTTATCGGATGCCTGAACGAGAAAATCGTTGACTTGTTCTCTTGTAAAAACGTTTGACTTTTTAGGTGTATAGCCGTCATTCTTACGTTCCAAAAATGCTCTCAGCTTGGGCTATTTTGATATATCCACGTTCTCCTCTTGACTTAATCATTGAGTATTCACTCCACAAACTCGCCGGTCTTTAAAGTTCTTGACTTCATGAAATAAGTATGCTAGCATAGAAATGACATTATATAAAGCAAATTTTTACTTACGTTAAATTTTAGATACCAAAAAATATTTAGGAAACGTTGAAATTCTTAATAAGTTCGACATAACAATATACAACATTAAATATAACATCAATTACTAGTAAATAACAAGAGAAAGAAACAGAAATTGACTAACAATGTCGAACACGTGGAGTGAAATAAAGTGAGGTTAAATGTTAAATAAAATTCAAAATTGACATTCTACAATTCTTAGGATTACCAACTAAGTCAAAACAAAAATTTTTAAAGTTAAACTACCAATATACTAATAACAAACTATCAGCTGTGAATTAAT